TTCTCCTGCCTCAGCCTCCCAAGTAGCTGTGACTACAGGCACGTGCCACCACGTCTGGCTAATTTTTGTATTTTTAGTAGAGAAGGGATTTTACCATGTTGGCCAGGCTGTTGTTGAACTCCTGATCTCAAGTGATCTGCCCACCTGTCTCCCAACGTGTTGGGATTATAGGCATGAGCCACTGCTCCTGGCCAGTTTTGCTTGTTTTTGACCTTACGTAAGTGGAATCATTTATATATCATCACAGTATATATTTTTTCATGTTGAATTTCTGTGCTCAAAATAATGTTTGTAAATATGTTCACATTGTATAGTTTTATTCATCATGATTGCTGTATGATATTTCACTAAATGAGTACACCACAATTTCTACTGTGAATGGACATTTGAGTTGCTTCCATCTGGGAACCATTACAAATAAGGCTGTTATCAACACTCTTGTAAATATCTTTTTGTCCACATGTGCTTGCACTTCTGTTGGTATAGGCCTAGGAATGGAATTGCTGGGTCACAGGGTAGGTGTTTATTTCAATTTGTATTTTCTTGATTACTAATGAGGTTAAGCATCTTTCATGGGTATATTAGCTATTTGGTATCCTCTTTTTTATACAGGAGGCATCTTGAATTGTCTGTATTTTTATCAGTTTGTACAAGTTTTTCATGTGTTTTGGACACAAGTTGCTCACATTTACATGTGTTGCAAATATCTTCTACTCTTTGGCTTACTTTTCCCCTTCTTTTAATAATGTCACTTAATGAACAAAAGCTCTTAATGTAATATAGTCCAATTTATCAATATTTTCCTCTATTGTTAGTGATCTTTGTGTCATTTAATAAATTTTTTCTGTAGCCTCACATTATAAAGATATGTTCTTTATTTATTTTATCTTATAGAAGCTTTATTATTTTACCCTTTACATTTAGAGCTATCACGCACTGAGAATTGATTTTTATGTGTGGTGTGACATAATCATCAAGTTTCTCTTTTTCTCCCCAAACAGTTACTCAATAGACTGAGCACTATTTACTGAATGATCCTTTCTCTATTGCTCTACAGTGCTAGCTTGCAAGATTGAATGTCCAAGTATGTGTGGATCTGTTTGAAAACTCTCTTCTGTAGTCTATTTTTCTACCCTTACATCAATATCACACCGTCTTAATTACTGTAGTTTAATTACCTATAAGTGTTGATATCTAATGGATTAAGTCCTTAGGCTTTAGGCTATTTACAGTCCTTTGTATTTCCATATATATTTTAGAAGCTGCTCAGAATTTTTTTATTAAAAAACACTGCTGTGATTTTAATGGAGATTGCATATAATGGAGTTTATGATTCATAGAGTTTTCTTCATTCTTCCAAGATGGGGTATTTCTCTATTTATGTAGGTCTTCAGTAATTTCTCTCAAAATATGTTATTTTTTGTGCAGAGGTTTTGTACATATTTTGTTAGATTTATTCAAAAGTATTTGGTAGTTTTGTTGCTACCGTGAAATGATATCCGGCTTAAATTTTTATTTTCTAATTTTTAATGCTAGTATTGATTTCATATCTTGACCTTGCATCTGGCAACCTTGCAAAGCTCACTTATTATTTATGATACTTTAATTGTAATTATTATGGATTTCCTTTGCACATACAAATAACATTTGCAAACAATCATAGTTTTCTCTTTCTATTCCTTATACCCTTGGTTTAATTTCTGTTATTGTTGTAATTACTAAGATTTCCATTAGAATACCGTGAAGAAGTGGTGTCTTGTCTTGTTCCTAGTCTCAGAGAGAAAGCATTCAACATTTCACCATTTATTATGATGCTGGCTTTTTACATGGCCCTGATGAAATTAAAGAAATTGTCTTCCTTTCTTAGTTCTTAGTCTTTTTTCATGAATAGATGTTGAATTTAATTAAATATTTTTTAACCTATTGAGATGTCAGCAGTTTTTATGCTGGTGTTAATACAGTGAATTACCCTGCCTAACTTTTCCAATGGTAAACTAGTCTTGCATTTCTAGAAATTATCCAACTTTGTTTAGATCAACTGTACCTTTTATATATTGTTGTATTGAGTTTGCTAATATTTCTTTTAGAATATTTGCATCTATGTTTGTAAGTAATATTGACTGTAATTTCTTTGGTATCAAGTTGATGGTGCCAAAATTATAGAACTTTATAAAACAAATTGGAAAATTTCCCCTTTTTCCCTATTCTCTAGAATACTCTGTGTAATTGTTCTATTTCTTTCTCATATGTTTGGTAAAATTTACCAGTGAAGCCCAACTTTTCTTTGTGGGAACAGAATTGAATATAAAATTTTAAAAATATTCATAGATTATTCATATATTCTATTTCTTCTTGTATCAATGTTAGTAAGTTGTGCTTTTTAAGAAATTTCTCCATAACAGGTAAAAATTCAAGTTTATTGGCATAAAATTGTTTATGTTATCCTCATATTAACTTTGTAGCATCTGTGATGAAATTTTGTAGTCTGTGATGATATCCCCCTTTTTATTTATTTATGTATTTATTGAGACGGGGTCTCACTCTGTTGCCCAGGCTGGAGTGTAGTGGTGCAACCAGAGCTCACAGCAGCCTCGACTTCTCAGACTCAAGCAATCCTCCCACCTCAGCCTCCTGAGTAGTTGGGACTACAAGTTTACACCACCATACCTGGATATTTATTTTATTTTGTGTAGAAATGAGATCTCATTATTTTACTCAGCCTGGTCTCAAACTCCTGAGTTCAAGTGATCCTTCCGTTTTGGCCTCTCAAAGTGTTGGGATTACTGGTGCGAACCACTGTGCCCGACCCTTTTTATTTTTGATAATGGGTAATTTGCTCTTGCTGTCTTGCTCGCTTGCTCTGGCTCTTGCTTTTGGTTTATTTTCTTTTTCTCGATCAGTCTTGCCAGTTTATCAATCTTATTGTACTTTTTAACGAACAAACTTTTGGCCTACTGATTCTCTTTATTGTATTATGTTTCATTATTTTTTTTCTGTTTTAATTTTTTACCTCCCTCTCCTGTCTTTTTTATTTAATTTGCCTTTCCTCTTCTAAAATCTTGGGTGGTATACTTAAACCGTTGATTTCAACCTTCTTTTATTACATGCATTTCAGGCTGTAAATTTTATTCTAAGTATGGTTTAGCTATATCCCACAAGTTTTTATATTATCAATGTTTACATTCAATTAGTTTCAACTATTTTAAAAAACTAATTGTGAGGGGTTTTTGAAATTTGCAAGTAGTTTTAAAACTTCCAAGCATATGGGTATTTTACAGTTACCTTTGTAAAAATTAATTTTTAGCTTATATCTACTATGGTCCAAATTTTTTGGAGATTTTCTTTCTGATCTTGGCGCCACAATTCTGCACTGCCTTAGTACTTCTGAAATGGCTGTATTAAGCTGGGAATCATACAGTTGAAGAAGGCCATTACATGTGCTGGGAACATGCACCTTTGAAGGCTTAGCTAGTGGTTCTCAACCTATCAGATGCAACACTGCCATTTTAAATACATATATTTGCAATATTCCTTTTTCTATCCTGAAAAAAATTATAGATAATCTAAAGATTTAGAAAACAATACAGTATCCTGTTACATGGAGGATAAATAAATAAAAAGTAATTTGTAACAAGATATGTTTTTCAACCTGGAAAGGTTCGGGCATGACTACACTAGAGACAGGATAAAGTTGGCCGATGTTTTCTTCTACTTACATTGAGTTAACATGGATATAAGAGAATTAAGACAATACTCAAAGCATATTTATTGTTGACACTTTTTCCTTGTATTTAACATTTTTAGATAAAGGCTAAATGAGCATATTTGTGTGCGTATACAAGTACAATCAATGTGACTGTGACAACTGCAAATGAAAAGCTGATAAACGTGTGTTGCCTGTTGACTCAAATACCAGAAGCTGCGTTGTCATTGATGAAGGAATATTTCATAGTGCTGAACAATTCTTGATAAAGTTCCGAAACAAACAAAGCACAATCTTCCCTCGATTTACATGGGAGTTGCATTCCTGGAAAATTCAGTATATTTTAAAACCATGCAAAATATCCTTTAAAAAAATATGTAACATGGAGTTTAGGACCAAGGCTCAGGTAACTATAAAAATTTTTACCTACATAAATTTCTAGTGGAGTGTTTGAAATTTGTTTAGGACTGTCTCCTTCATTGTGGGACATTTGCAGATTTCTCCCTTGCCCAGTAAATCTCAATAGCATCTCCTCCCCCAATTATTGTGAAAATCAATTCCTCCACATTCAACCAATTTTCCAACACCTCCCGAGCAGCACTGCCATCCTTGTTAAGAACGTGCATCTAGTTCATCTTAAGATAGAACTGCTGCCCTCATCCCCACTTTCTCTCCCAAATTCTGTGAAAGCCCAGCACAGGCACTGGGGGATACAGCAAGCCACTTAGGAGGATTCCCAACTTGTATCGTTGAATCATCTTTAAATTTGTTTTTATTATTTTTTTAAATGTCTTATCATCTTCCAAAAAGGATGTTTGGGTGAACTGCAAAGAGATATACTCATAGACAGGAAAAAGACCTGGTAGGGTGAAGAATGAAAGAAAAACAGACAGGCAGAATAAAGCTGAAACCTGAGCCTAGTATCTAAAAGACACACTCACAGGGCTTGTATACGCAATAAAGTTGAGAAGTAACTGGGTTGTCAACTTAAAGAGGAATACTTGATCAGACACACAATTCTATGTTGACAAGATTAAAAACAAACTCTAGTCATCCTTCAGTACCTGTAGGAAATTGGCTGTAGGACCTTTGTGGATACCAAACTCCGCAGATACTCAAGTCCCTTATGTAAAATGGCATAGTATTTGCATGTAACCTATGCACCTCCTCCCATATACTTTAAATAATCTCTAGATTACCTGTAATACCTAATATAATATAAATGCTATGGAAATAGTTGTTATACTTTATTTTTTCATTTATGTCACTTTTATTGTTGTTATTTTTAATTTTTTAGAATATTTTCAATCCATGGTTGGGTGCGGAACCTGTGGATACAGAGGACTGACTATAATATCAAGGTAAGGACGTGGACTCTGGACCCAGACTACGTACGTTCAACTTGGCTTCACTTTTACAAACTGTGGGACCTTGAGCAAATCACCACATGCTTCTGTGCTGTCACCTATAACAGGATAATATCACTACCTACAATACCACATAGGTCTATTGTGAGGATTAGATAAGTTGGTGTACATAAACTTCTTAGGAGAGCATACAGTAGTTACTTGTAAACACTATATAAACATTTGCCAAATAAGCAGGAAAAGTTCTCAGAGAAAACAGTTTTTCCCAGCAGTTTCTCTAGTAGATGCAGAATTGAATTACCTAGACTGAAAACTCAGAGGAAACTTGACATTCATCAATTCTAATCTGTTTGTGTTACAGTGCAGGAAACTGCAGCCAGAGACTGAAAGTCTAGGGGCCAAGCTCACATATTAGTTGAGGATCCACAAGTTAGTTGAGGATCCTGGTCCTCTGGCTCCTTTCTGCTGCTCTTTCCGATATGTCAGCCTGGAGCTGGCCTGGGGAGGGGTGCAGAGAAGCAGCCTATTGTCTTTCCTTCCCAGAGTGTCCACAGGTTCCAAAATTCCACTTTCTCCCAACTGTTCTATAACACCCCAAACTCTCATTTCTTCCTAAGGACAGAGAGCAAAGAATAAATCAGGTGTGAATGAATGACCCCTCAACTCAAACCCTCAAGGAATATGCAAACACATAATAGAGTTCCCTTAAATATAATAAATCTTCAAATTTGAAGAGGAGGGGGAATGGGTAGGTGGGGGGCAAAGGTTTTAAATTTAGAATTTAAAATTGAATTGTCTAAACTGGCAAAAGTCTCACCACGTTCCAGTTGTGAGACTGTTCACAAAGTTACTTGAGAGTCTCCAAACCTCATTTTTCTCTTCTGTAATGTCAAAACAGAGATCATAAGGCTGACGGAATGGACTCTTTGTGGCAATAAGATACCATATTATAAACAGCACTTAAGGCTGTGCCAGGTAAGAATTAAGTCACACGCCCTTACTCTTAAGGAATAAACTATGTTCTAACTGCCATAAGGTGTTTTCTTTCACTCTAGCAGTTAAACAAGCACTGGTAAGTCTCCACCCCACAGTGAACATGGGACACATGCAACATGCATGTTTGCTTACTATGTATGCAAGCATTCCTCACTTCCTAAATATTTACTGCCCCCTGTAACCTGTTGAATGTGTATACTTGGCCAAACAGTTCAGCATAAATTCCTGCTTTACGCCTCTCTCCCTTGAAGTGCCAGCTTTTGGTCTCTGCTGGAGGCTATGCTTCCCAGCCTACCAGGATGGCCACCCTGCAGGCTGTAACCCTTTGTAAGAAATAAAGTTCTCCTCTCCAAGTTTCTGAACCTTGTGATTCTTCAGTTAACAGTAACATGGGAATGATGATAATCAATGCCTCACGGGTTGTTGTGAAGAAGAAATGAAATAATACAAAGCACCTAGCACCATGCCTGGCAGTGAGTCAGGGGCCAATAAATGTTCATCATATTTGCTATTATTATTATTATTACAGGCATCAGCAACCTATCAGAAGAGAAATATTTTTCCTTTGCTCTTTGAAGAAATGAGGCCACCCCAGAAAGGCTTTCTTGGTGTCTTCTTACTCCAGGAACTCAGTTACCTTGTAGAGGGGAATGGGAATGTCTGGAGAGAAAGAACCTGAAGCTCAGTTCCCCTAGGAGCACATGAAGCATCACAAAGACAGAAGGGTTGCAGGGCTGAATCCAATTCAACCACTCACTCTAGTGTGTTCCTGAGAGTGTTGTCTTCCCTCTATGACCCTTAAACAAATATGTATATGTTCACTGTCCATAATGTAATACAAGACAGGGTTTGGTATGATTAAGATGCTGCCTATTAAATGAGGAACTCTGAGATACTGCACAAGAAATCTAGAAACTTCATGAATCGGGGGTGAATCTCCCCATGGTGAAAGTTCAGAAAGACTGGCTGCAACGGGCTTTGCAAAATACATGCTTACAAACACATTTTCTCTTCCTTTAACAAGGAAAATGATAAAACTTCATAGTTACAGCAAGAAATACTGGGAAACAAAAAATATGCCCTTAAAAATTCGATAACTTAATATATTCATTGTACTTAGCTGTTATGGGAAATCCAATATCTTACTGTTGATTTTAATTTTCCAAGGGACTTTGAACTATATGTGTGTAGGTGGTAGTAAATGCCTTTGTTATGGCTGCTGGGTTCTGCAGACTCTCTGCACACAGAGGTGTAGGTGATTAGACTTGTGTTTTCTGGGAAGCAAGGGCAAGTAAGGAGTATCTACTATGGGCCAGCCACATATCTTTGGTATTCCATTCAACACACTCCTCCCTGTGTTAGAGGAAACATTATTCTTCCCAGCGTATAACAGGACTCTGTCCTCTAGGGAATTGGGAAATTATTTCCTTCCCCTCCCTCTTTTACTTCCCCCCAAGGGAAAGAATGACTTCTCTTCTTAGGGAGGTTGGAGAAGGGTCCTAAACAGTGGGCTCTCTTGTTTCGGCTGACTGTGCACAGGTTGAGACACCTTTTTCATTGCTTCTGCTTTCCTATGGGAGGAACAGTTGAATCCCAGCCCAGGATCTGGAGGTTGATGTCTCTCTTCTTGGTCTCCAGAATTCATCGATTTGAGGCATGCATCTGACCTCCATGTTTCTGCACCACACACTCAATTCTCCTCGCGTGCAGGTCCAGACCCAGCTGGGGTTGTATCATTTTGAAGGTCATCTGGTTGCAGGTCCACTTTCAGGGCTCCTACTCAACAACCAATAAAGGTGCTGTATTCATCTGTATTTGCTGAAATACGACTATTTCTCAATTTGTTCAGAATCAGAGAAGCTCTACTTGAAGAGCTTGGAATGGGCTTTGAAATGTAACCCAAGCATCTTATGCAGGTAAAAAGCCAAAACTCATATGCCCATCTTGCCAGCTGACCTTCCCAGAGCCCACCCAGGTCTGGTCACATAATAATGTGCATTGCCCAAGGTGGCTTGATTGCCTGGTCTGGCAGCTGGAGGAGTGGGCCCTGCACCTGACCTCATCGTGTCTTGGCTTTGTCTAAGTAGTCCCCTTGCCTTCGATTGTTCTGTGGCTAATGTTTTCACTCATTTAGAAACATCTGCATCTTTCTTCCCCGGCAGTGCTCTGAACCCCCCGTTTTTTTTTGTTTTTTTTTTGCTGGGGGCACTGTCACCAGTGTCTGGAGATATGTTCCTGTTCTGGATCTGACCCCAGAGGACTGGAACCTGCATGGAGGTCTGCTGCCTCCCTGCCTAGCACTCTTTCTTTTCCCACCAGGGTGCATACCTCTGTGAATTACATGGCTGGACTTCTCTTAACATCAGACTCCATTAACTAGAACAATAGTTTTATCTCATCCTGTGATTCAAAGATGGTTGCTAGGGAAACCAGTGGGGATCTGTTTAATCTGTAAATCCTGTAATTGCCCTAAATTAGCAGCAACTCATACGCTTGCTTCAAAAGGATTTGGACTGAGCTGACTGGGAAGCAGGTGAGTGAGGAAGAACAATCACAGGTTGGCTCCCCTTGTGATCTGTTCACATTCCTCATAAGGTGTTTTTTCCCGATGCTTTGCCAAAAAGCTAAAGGGATTAAAGAGGGAGTACTGCAGCGTCCTTCTAATGGACCAGGAACACTAGAAAGACAAAATAATACAGTCTTTCTCTTCTTATGGATTCAAGTGGTCAGAGCTGAGTGATTGGAGGCTGTACTAGTGGTGATGGAGAGAGATAAGAGGATAAATAATCCATTTTACTTTAAAATGGATTCAGAATCCTATAATTGTAGTTTGTAGGGGGCTAGTAACTCCAAATGAGGAGAAGCGAGGTATTTGGGCACTCTTATCATCAGAAGAGACCGGGTGGTCTAAGCATAGGAGCACAGAGTCAGGTTTGGAGGCACGCTCAGCATCATCCCTGCCAAGCCTTTCCTTAATCCACAGCAGTATTCAGTGGGTCACCCACACGCTGCTTGGGCACTGCCAAAAACGAAGAACTTGCTCCTTCCCAGAGCAGCTCATTTTGTTTTTAAACAGCCCTGATTGTTAGAAAATCTGCCTTAAATTGAACTGAAAAATAGGGTGCTTGGGACAGGGGGGCACTTTTCCTCCTTGACTTGGCTGACTGGCAGAGCTCACAGAGGTTTCTTCATAAGACATGCCCTACCTCTGTCACAGGGCCCACACCCAGCAAGCCACACTGGCTCAAGGGCCCAGAACTGTCCAGACAGTTGAGTCCCACCTTGAGGCACAGTAGAGAAGCAGTAGGGAAAAAACTGAACATTCCTTGATGTAGTGTTTGATTAAGAATAAAGTGCACAGCGTCTGTCTCTCAGGGCCCTGCAGTGTTTGTGATTAAAAAAAAAAAGCAAAATCTAAGTGCAGAACCTGTTGCTCAGGAGAAATGTCACATGAAACTCTTTATACAAAATGGTTCTGAGAATCATCACTACCATTATCGGTGGAGATGACTCAGTATTTTAGACTTAGCTAGTTACGCAAAGTCCAGGGAGGTCATTGTGCTCTCTTTTGGAAACATAATAGTTCCATTAACGCAGCTGAATATCACATTTGGTCTGAGCAGCTGCAATCCCACTGATGACTCATGTTGAGCTCTACAATCAGTGAAAACTTGGAAGGTATTTCTCCTTTGTAGGTGCAATATCATATGATCCCTAAGCCCAGCTCTATTGGGACTATGGGTGTCCAGGATCCCTCCTAGCTCCTTGCCTGCTTTTGCTGTCAAGTTTGTCAACTTACAAACTTACAAACTTACAAACTTACAAACTTCTGTATTTTAAAATTCAGGATTGCCGGCCGGTGCAATGGCTTGCACCTATAATCCCAGCACTTTGGGATGCTGAGGTAGGAGGATCTCTTCAGCCCAACAGTTTGATCAAGACCAGCCAGGGAAACATAGGGAGACCTCATCTCTACTAAAAATAATAATAAAAAAAAATAGCCAGGTGTGGTGGTACATGCCTGTAGCCCCAGCTACTCAGGAGGCTGAGGTGCGAGGATGGCTTGAACCTGGGAGGCCGAGGATGCAGGTAGCCATGATCATGCCTCTGCACTACAACCTGGGCAAAAAAGCAAGACCCATGTTTCAATAAAATAAAATTTAGGATTGCGGGGATTGCAACCTCCTGTCTCTGGTTCTTTGTTACCTGTCCTGCTCTGTGAAGTCTTAGGTGGTCACTGCCTGTGCCTAGTTGATAGATCTACATGATCCCATTCTCTTCAGCTCTAATTTATCCAGACCAGCATGTTTAATGAGGTTAGATGTCTGTTTAATAGACCCTTTATTAATGTCTATTCTCTCTTTTCTAATTTATTGCCAGAAAAGTTGGAGGAAGGAGCCGGGTAGTGTTGCTTTCTCTGATCTGTTGAAGCGGCATAATTAGTTTATCTAATAGTATACTGCCCTTGTGAGAGGTAACAATGCGAGACTTTGGAAAAAGACATCTAACCTGAGTGCTTATACTTTACACAGCCCTTTTGCATTGTTTAGTACTACTGGTTTTTATGCTACTTACTTGTTTTAAAGCAGATATTTATAAAAATAGACACAATTTGCTAAATTTCATTCAGTTCAGTCACTCTTAATGGAAAGTCTAGTTTTATATGCCACAAAGCCATAACCAAGGTGTACCTCACTGTAGAAAAAGAATCCAGAAAGAAGGAAATGGTTTTAAGTAGCAACTTTGAAAATTCCAGGCCGGGCGCGGTGGCTCAAGCCTGTAATCCCAGCACTTTGGGAGGCCGAGACGGGCGGATCACGAGGTCAGGAGATCGAGACCATCCTGGCTAACCCGGTGAAACCCCGTCTCTACTAAAAAAAATACAAAAAACTAGCCGGGCGAGGTGGCGGGCGCCTGTAGTCCCAGCTACTCGGGAGGCTGAGGCAGGAGACTGGCGTAAACCCGGGAGGCGGAGCTTGCAGTGAGCAGAGATCCGGCCACTGCACTCCAGCCTGGGCGACAGAGCGAGACTCCGTCTCAAAAAAAAAAAAAAAAAAAAAAAGAAAATTCCAAACTATGAAGCAAAGGCGGAAATCACTGTTAGAAAGTCCTTGGCTTTCCAGGAAGTCCAAAGCCCAAATGAAAAAGGCATCTTGATTTTCTCTCTGAACTCTGCTCAAGGTTTACTAAGAAACTACCTACCACGTAAAACTGGGAAATACACAAAAGACGTATTTCTTGGAAGGTGAGGGGTGTTAGTGATTTTGGCCTCACATTCAGAGAGCCAGAACATGCATGACCTGCTAGAAGTAAGGGGCGGAAAGACAGGACTGGATTCTGGGGCTGCATCCAGGGAAAACATGTCAGTACTGTACACCTAACGCCAGATGAGTGGACAGAGACATGTCAGGAGGAAAGAAAAAGGAATGACCTTGGCTCCGGCACGGGATTGGTGGGAGGGTATGAGAGATCAGAAAGGAGAAAGGATGGTGATACATAATCACTTTTCTATTTTCTTTCAGGATAATGACTTAAAACTTAACGTTGGTCACTGCAATCAAAGTCTTACTATGAAAAACCAAGTAAGTACATGGCTCTGAAATTCCAGAATTCCTTGGTGTGGAGTTAGGACTAGGAAGAATCACAGCCAAAAACAACTAACAGTAACTCCCATAGCAATGCTCTGTATTTAAGACGTAGATACATCCATAATATATACACTCTGGAGTGGTTTATTAAAAGGCACTTAGAGCCATTCATAAAGAAATAAATGATAGTGCAAGGCAGCTGGACGCAATGGCCAGGAGGGGAGTTAGCAGTGAGTGCTCCTGGGGAGATGCCGAGGCTGGCTGGGCAGAGGGTACAGTGAGGGAGGCCTGAGGGAGGCCTAAGGGAGCCCTCGTGGGCCTGGGTGATAGTGTCCTCAGAATTCCCCAGTGTGTGTGACCTCTGCAGCTTGACTGTTCCTAAGGGAAGTTTGGAGGATAAAGACAGCATCTCTGGGCAAGAGATACGACACCAGACCAGTGTTCCTCAGGTCTGGGACCCCCACAGAGCAACAGCTGGGAAAGTATACTGTTATTGAAGGCAAAGCAATCAAAATTCCATTCCAGAAACGTGTTCCTTGCGAATCTAGGTACCTGCTGCTCACCGTTCAATAGTGGCAGATATTTCAGTGTAGGCAGCTGAGTGCTTCTCATGCATACACTGGCTGCCTCCCACTTCCCCACCCAAGGGACACCTGGAAACATGTGTGCATGTGTTTGTCACAATGTTTGTGTGTGTGTGTGTGTGTGTGTGTGTGTGTGTGTGTGTGTATAGAGGCTACTGGTATAAAGTATCCAGGACCAGAGATGCTTAATGTCCTGCAACACGAGGTCAGCTCCTCAGAGCAAATACGGACCCCATTATAAAACAATGTGCTTTGGATCCTATCAAGGGAAATTCCCTTAAAAGAACTAAATAGACTTTAAATTGGTTTCAGCAAGGTATACATTTAAATGTGTATATTCCAATGTTTTCTGCTTTTAAATTTAAAAGCTCTTAAAGTTAGAAAATACAGATTAGCATAAAGAAAATGATCAAAATAATCCTCACTCATACTATTTAAGTTATTATTATTATGTTGGTATTGATTAATATGTCAGTGCTTTCCATTTGTTTATGAAAATAAGACAAAATTATATATATTTTAGTCAGCTGTTTTAAATTACTACATTGTGAATAATCTTCATTGTCTTAAATATATCCTTTTGTATATAATTTTTAGTTGCTGCCTAATACTGTATTTTATGGCTGTACCATTGTTGAACTATCCTCCATTGTTGAATAGCTAGATTTTTTTTTTCTATTAACACAATGTGGCAATTTATCTTTTCCTCAGAATGGTTTTTTATTGTCAGAGAGCAAAAGGATGTTTAACAGCTGGAGGGTAAGAGGATAGATGAGTGACAAGAAATTAGGGTCTGCAATGAGAAGACATTGCTTCAAGTCCCAACTCTGCCACTTACTAACCATGTGACCTTAATTTAAGCCAGTCAGCTCAATCTCTGTGTGCCTCAGTATCCTCATCTGCAATATGAGAATAACAATATTTACCTGGCAGGATAGCACAGGAGATTAACTGAGGAAATACACGTAAAAGTACCTTTTAACTGTACCTCACTCTGAGAGAGAAAGGAAAAAAAACATTATCTTCCATTTACTGTGAATCTCTCATATGCCAGGCACTTTCCTACGTTTTACATGCTTTATTGCATTTGATCCTCATGGCAAACCTGTAAGGCAGGGGCTATTTTTTTTATTACCCACATGTTACACAGAAGGGAAATGAGACACATGGATAATCTACCCCATCATGCGCACAACGGTGGAAGCAGCAGCATAGGGATTCAGACCCAGGTCTGCAGGACACATCTCAGGCTCTGAGGTGGATACAGTGCAGAAGAGAAGCACACTCCCCAGTGTGGCAGAAGGCCAGCTCCAGAGCCTTCCAAACCCAGCTCTCCAGGAGATAAGATGAATCACCAGCTAGGGACAATTCTGAGGCCAAAAAGCTCATGATAGCCTGCTCACAGTCTTGAGTCAATGGGTCTTTTATTAGTCTTTAAAATGGGGACCACAATCCTTATATGTGTACAGTGTTCGTGCATTCCAGAGCTCTTTCCCATCCATTCTCTCACTGTTCCTGACTATAGCTCTGTACTGTGGGTGGGGCAGGAATCTCATGTCGTAGTGGCTTGTGGGAGCATCATCCTATATGTTAGAACAGGGAAAACTGGAACTCTGGATGCCTGGTCTCAATTCATTTGAAATTTGAATAATCCCAGCTTATTGGAAAAGGAATCCTGTCTTTTCTACTTGGTATCTGTGTAGCTTTGGGTAGCTCATTTCATTTCTCAGATTTTCAGTTTCTTCATCTCTTAAAAGAGATCCAAAACAGGAATAACGTTTATGTCAAGGATGGTCCTAAAATCCAAATGTAGTCATGGAGGATATTAAAAATGCCTACCACTGTGTCCCTCCCACCTCTAAGGCAGTGTACCCACTCCAGCCACCCAGCCCCCAGTGGGCATCTATACCGGATGACCCCTTCCCACTCCACTGTGGGTGACTGGACTGAGGTGGGCAATGAACTTAAAGAGTCGTTCACTGGCCTTAAAGGAATTCATCAAATGGTGAACGGAATCACCTGGATTCTTCTTTTGAGACTTTTTCCTCTGATAACTGAATTTTTAATTCTACTTAGTTTTAATTAATTTTAATTTAATAGCCACATGGAGCTAGTGGCAACTATAATGTACAGCTCAAGGCTATAAGTTTATTCTCTGCGGAAAGTAAAACAGAAGTCAAAGAACATTAAAAAATTGAGAGATTTTCTCATCATGGGGAAAATTGGCACACTAAAGATACCATGGACTCAGAAAAAGGCCAAATATATATATATATATATTAGGGAAAGAAATGGTAATGACTGGAGGGGCCCATGTTAGAAGAATTCAATATGAAAGTATTGAAGAGCACTTCTGGTACTATGAGGAATGAAACATTATGAAATGTTTAGTGCTATAAAACAAAGACAACATGACAAAGCATACTTTTAATTTTATTCCTGGGCTTGCAAGAAGTTATATACTACTTTTGCACTACCACCTTCACTCCCAAAAATGACGTGAACGCAATTAAGTGCTAAGTATAGGTGAAAGGCAGGATTGCCCTGCCGGCAAATGCTGACGTTAAAACTGCAATCAAAAGCCAGCTAACAAGATGGAGAGATTAAGCCTGGGATCCCAGCAGTGAGCTAAAGTTCTTATAGGTGGGTAACCCCCCGGCTCTCAACAAAAACAAATCTCCTCTCGAGAGAAAAGCTTCCTCAACTTGGGTCCTTAGATTTCCATGGATTAAGCAATAATATATGAGCACTCAATAATATATGATCAATGAAATATAATGAAACACACAAGAAAGCAAACCACTATAAGCAAGAGGTAGAAGAGATGAGGTATGCCAGACTTCTACCTCTAAGAACTTTAAATATTAGAATGATAATATTTGAAATGTATAATAATTATTTTAAAATTCATTCAAAAAATATGAAGTCATACAAATAAGCATGCAATGTTAGGCTATAAAAAGTGAAATGGTAGATTTGAAAAAGACTTAAACATAACTTGTAGAAATGAAAAAGGTTATTATTGAAAAGCAGAAGAAGGAATTAGTAAAGTAGAAAATAGAGTTGAAGAAATTAAACAGAATGTAGCACAAGAAAAAAAAAGATAAATAAGAAAGAAGGATCAATAATCATATAAGTTCCAAATAAAGATAATATATTGAACACATACAGCTAATTTTACTCCCTTCCCCAAACTTGTTAAAACAACAGCAAAGGGATTTTAAACAGTCATATAAACCCACAAGGATGGGCAAAATATGAGATGAGACACCTGCAACAAACTTCTGGAAAATGGAATATAAATGAAGAATTGATAACAGAGTTATCAGAACTAAGAAAACCAAATCCTAAATTGATGGTGGGGAAATCATTGAATCAACTGAATTTGCATTGAAACACAACACAAAAAGTAAAAAAAGGAATATAATACAGTAAGGAGCATAAATTAGTATAATAGAAATTAAAGAAAAAATAGAGAAGAACTACCAAATCAAAAGTTCTTTAAAAAGACTGTTAAAAATAGATTAGTAAGATTGAGAAAAGTGAAGGTATAAATATGTATGAACAAAGGAACAGATCTACAGATAGGCAAAATTAAATTTTAAAAAGATTTTTTAAAAATTTAATTTAAAATTAAGTTTAAAAAATACTTTAAGTGCCAAAAGAGATAGTAAGAATCATCTACACTACTTTATGTCTATACATTGGAAACAATTTAAAATGCCCAGAAAAATATAACTTGTGAAACCAATTGAAGAATAAATAGACAACCTAAATAGCCTTATAATCATTAAATAAAATAGTAGTCTAAAATTTTTCTGCAAAGAAAATAAAAGTCTCAATAATTTCAGTGACATTATTATTGCATTAAATAAAAAATCGAATGTCCAAGAAGAGCCAAGACATTCTGAGGACAAGCAGGATGAAGGAATGTGCTTTTCTATATTGCAAGCCTTATTAAAAAGCTAAAGTAATTAAAACAGTATGGTTTTGAGGTAAGGATAATCAAATTAGTCAATGGAACAGACTAAGAAACCCCCAAAAATCTGTCTCTCTCTCTCTGTCTCTCTCTCTCTCTCTCTCTATATATATATATATGTGTGTGTGTATATATGTATGTGTATATATATGTTTGTGTATGTATATGTATGTGTATATATATTTGCTTGATAAAGGATATTGTTATAGATCATGAGTGGCTTATTCAATAAATGGTGCTCAGAGCATTAGTTATCCACTTAGAAAAAAATTAAAGAAGCTCCTTATTCTCTTATATACAAAAATTAATTTTTGATGGAACAAAATCTTAAATATGGAAGGCAAAGGCTTAAAACTTTTTGAAGAAATTTAGAATATTTTTATAATCTTGGAATTTATTTAAAGAATATTTTTTAAGACACAAAAAGTACC